TCCACACCTTTGGAATTAATAAGGTGTGTGGGGGCACTGAATGTTCGTCGATCAAACAACCAAACATTTGCTTTATCGTCAAAAACCAGAATTTCTGAAACTTTGAAATATGAGGATTCACTGTAATTCCGATTTGCACCAAAAATTGTAACTTACGATTATTTCCCCGAGCGCAAGTCACACAAACAATCGCAGAACCTTCGTTAAACTCATATTGAGCAGTCTGTTTCGAAACATGCGGATCAATTTCAGCCAGCTTTGAAATCCTGCCATTAGTACGGCAACAAAGAACAGCTCTTGGACCGGAATAACAGATATCTTTTACGCAAAAGCCGGAAGTTGGCGATCGCCACAAAAACAACCACTGGTTTTCATTCATAACTGTATTCCTGCAATTACAGCTTATCATTCCGCAATTATGTTAAAAATGGCAACTCAAAGTAACTTAGCGAACCCATATTTTTATTTTCAAGACGTTTAATACAATTTTGCTTAGCCTGAAGAAATTGTGAATACACTGACGTTTAAATGAAAATCTTATTTTCGCAGACGTACCGACGACAAAATTCTACAGCGAAAAAACTTCTTCCTTCACTCAAGCGAGTATCACATGAACAGAATCATTTGTGTACAAAATTCCGCTACCACCTCTTCAGTTTCGTACTCATTTTTCTGCTTTTCACCCAGAACTGTCTGAATTTCCCGACAACTTTTCCAGGTTTACGAGAATAAACGGAATAAACTGCTGAGGATCAGAACAGTGTTTTTAGTGCTTACTAGTACTGCACCACTGTTGCGTAAAAGTCATTTAATGGCCAAAGCGTTTGGTAAAGGAACGAGTCTAATAAAACGACAGCTGAAGAATATTAGATTGCAATGAACTTCTCGCTTATAAATAGTTACGGATAAATGTCTTAAATAGTGATCAGCAACAAAGCGCCGATTAAAACACGCTGAAGAAACAAGTTTTACAAGAGTAGGAAAACTGATAGGGCAACACTATTGGTATATAGAAGTGTTGCTGGACCTTTAACTGTCAGCCACGACACAGCCAGACTTAATTTTAATGCCGATACGACTTTCGTCTTAATAATGAGTGGTAGCTGTTGGTAGCAGTTGTTTGTCGACCGACTTTAAAAATAAAACACAATTTTTCTGGCATACAAACGATATTGAAATTGGAGTGGGATTTCTGTCTCCAAAGAATTAAGCTCTTGAAGGTGAAGAACGACAAAAAAAAGTTTTGCAACTGGCCGCACAAGTGTTTCTTTTACTCTGATTTCAACATAAAACCTTTCAACCCTTTTTGCTGCATTTAATTATGACTTAAGCATGCAAATTTTACGTCGAAAAATACTTAACTTTTTCCTCCTCATAATTTCTAGAGTGTTGTACACTTTTCCAAAGAAGCCAAAAATAACTACCCTATTTCTAGCTGAAAATATGGAAACACTTCAAAGCATTATACATTTCAGTGAATTTTTTGAAAAGTCTCCAAAAGTTTCTTAAATGGGTCAAACGATAGCGTGACGCTAAAAGTTGGAGAAGGTACCTTTATAGTTTAGGATTTTCCTGCAAAAAATGCCCTTCAAATTTTTTTGGCCAACTGTTGCGATTTCGAGGGAAAAGCTTTTGTCTCTCATTTGTCGCATCACCTCTTCTAGGCTAGTATTGTCCGCTCCTACGCTCGCTTACAGCCTTACTAAACCGGGAATGGATAAGAACTATTTAAATAAAGACTTATTGTCACTGGAATTTATATGGAGAAAAAAGTAGCACTTTGAAAGACTGCATCGACTGCTTCTATTGAAGCATCTTTAAAATCCATTGTAGTTTTCGGGACCAATTTTAAAATCCACAAATTTCGTTAATTGGGAAGCACATACTTTTCCGCTTTCTAAGTCCGTCAGGTAATTAAAAACAGGCGAGACTTTGTTGGAACTGATACTACCTGAATATGTCATCTTCTAGCACAAAACTGATCCCGGATATTTTAATCATGAAACAAAAAAGTCAGGTGCGACTCCGTGAGTGCAATGAACTATTAGTTCTACTCACTTCACCCAATGCCTTTCGTAGACCTCATGTCTTCGAATTTTCTTGAAAATGATATCACGACATATTTTCACACTACCAAGCAAATTTGAGTGGTTTTCAATATTGCGATGTTATTAAAAGTCAGATAGAACCAGGAATGATAGAAAGGTGACAAATGAAGAAAATGAATCAATCACTGTATTCTTTTCAAACCAAACTTTCACTACGCTCAAAAGAACGATGTCTTAGTTATGGATTGTCCACGACTTTTCAACAAGTCTTTGCGAAATCAGTTCCATTAAATCTCCGCTCAGATGACGGGTACTATTCTAGAGCTATGTATTTTAATGCTCCGATCGAGGAAATCTAAGATATACTGCAATAAAAGATGAATTATGAACAAACAGAACAATTATTGGAGAAACCATAAACCAGCACTGCCCTGCCAAGATTATATGCGAGACTTAAACAGTTACTTGGGAAATTTAATTTATACACATTTAGAGACGTCTCATTTTTTGAGCAGAAATATCGGTAAGAGTAAAAAATAACAGTGAATTTATGCTACGTTATTGGTGAAAGTAATGTCGATGTCGATCAGACCATTAACCATACTAAAATCTAAATTTTCAGCAGCCAAGCTGGTACCCAAATAGTGATTTACGCTCGCATTAAGCTACATCCTTAAAACAGTGCAGATACCTTGTGGCCGGCTCTCAGATACGTGCTACGCTGGTTACAAATGAATACGACAGCTGGTAAACAAAGAGTCTTGAGAAATAGAACTAAAATGCATGCGTATGCTTTAATAACAGTGGATTATTATCAACCACGCAACTTTCCTGGCCATGACTCAATGTTGTCAAAGGTACACTATCAAAAAATTTTTCCTCACCTTTTTAAATCACGAAATTCTACCTAAGATTATTTTTAACAACCAGGTGCCATTGTTGAAACTTTTTTCTAACTCTTGCCTTTCCTGTACCTGCTAAATTGTTTGGAAAATTTGAAATGTTTTGTATTTACTCAAGTGTAGAAGACGTAGAAAACCTAACAAGCCAATTGTCAGTAAATTAAAGCTGGAGTATTAGTCTGAGAACCTAAACATCAAGCATACACCTACAATTTTTGCAACTTTGGGGAGATGTAACTTCGCGGCGAAATTCTTTATTTCAGGTTTATTTTTTTTTTTAACCCAAGCCCAAACTCCAAAAAATTAAGACGAGTTCTGAGACGTAAGATGGAAAAATATGCAAACGGTTTAAAAGCGCTCAAATATTTGTTCATAATTGGTAAATCCTTGTATGTAATTTTTGACTTGTCTCTTGAAGTTTTTAGAATTTAAAAGTTAGGAAATAAAATTACTCAAGAAGAATTCCGACAAGTTCCTCGTGGCAGTGACATGAACTACTGAACTTAGTCAAGGAGCATTTCGACTACTTTATGCCGCCCTCTCTTGGGGCCCTCTTGAATAATTTAACTGACGTAGGTCGATTACGTACAACAGCCTAAAACGAGGTTTATTAGTATGAAGTGAGCTACTGGATGCCAAGTTGGTGGAAGAGAGCAATACTCAGCTGGTTGTTTCTGCGATCAGTACGTCATCAAAAGCCAGTACATTGCAACCAGTAATTAGAGAACATGTACCACGGATCGCAAACACTTGAGTAACCATATAAAAATACTTCAACTTAACTTGTGGGAGGAATTCCAAGTTAGGAAGTATACAGATGCGCTACCAGTCCATATCTGGACAAAAAAATTTTAGGTATGAAACCGCTGATATCAAAAAGAGCAAGTTCATTGTCCCACCCTGTTTTTGTCGGTTACTCTTAAAGTCATCATATGAAGCTGCAGTGCTAAAAAAACATCCAGCCTTTTTTCCTGTGTATCCGACTTTTATTGCCTTTGCTACTGTCAACTGACCCGCCCTCATTTTTATCTCCCTATCCATATTTGCTTTGACCAACAATTAATCACCCAAATTTAAGATATAAGAGACTTGCGGTCTTAGAATTACTGTCTTGCTAGCTGTCGCCGTTGTGCTCATGTGTTGGCTATTCGCAGTTATAAACCCGCTTGATATCTGCATCGATTGTTCTGTCGCTCGTTAAATTAATAAAGACTTATAAAAATGCTCTTGACATAAGAGAGGTTAGAAAAAGTGTGAGAACAGGTTACAAGTTCAATGAATGACGTTTATTAGAAGAATGAAGTCTTTAATGATTGTTCTCGAGCTGTGAGGACTAAAGAACGAGGATATAGGGAACAAAGACGCTGCTCATTTCTAACCTAGGAATCAGAAAAACCGGTTGAAGGTTAAAGAGTAAAGACTTAAGTTTTCCTGAAAAAGATCAGGCAAGAGGTTGGAGAAAAGACTAAAGTGCACCGTGTGATGAAGACAGCGAAAACAACAGCATCCAAAAATTACCTACTTGTAAGGAACATAGTCGTTAGTTATACTGACTAAAATCCTCTTCCAGTTGGAGGGTACAAACCAGAAAAGGTACGATATATTCGACGGCAGGTCATTCTGTGCATTTCAGAAGCCGCAGAAATATCCTACGCGACCGAATGAAAAGTGGGAATGTGGCTTTGTGGATGACGACAGAAAAACCAAAAAACCCGATTAAGTAAATAGTTTTTGTACCGAATACTTAATAAATTCAGTTCTTCTGTAACAGATTTCTATAGAATGTGAAAGATAATAATCGCGACTTCCTGACAACAGCCATTCTGAAAAAACGGCTCAATAAATCAACAGTTTACTGTAACTACTATTCGGGCTTTTGCTATCGTAACCAACTTGAAAAATTATTCAATTGTTTTGCGCGTAGTCTGAAAACAAACTTTATTTTCACAACCTTTCCAACATATCTTTGTTATGGGATTGGATGTACAGCCTAACAAACAGTACCAAACGTAATTTTTTAAAAAAGAAAAAAGTTGAAAAAGGAAACAAAGCTGTGTAATCATGGTGTCCTATAGCCTTAGAAAAAACACCATTATCGAATGAAAATTAGAAAAACTTTAGACAGCAAACCAAAGCAAAAACGAAAATAAAAAAAACGACAATGCTAACAAACTGCTCCATCACTGCCAAGAAGCTAAAGCTGTTTTCGGTGCCTTACTCTGAAAATTGAATCACTTGAAAAACGGGTTTACGCATTTAACAGACAAAAATAGGCAGTTCCCTCCGAAGCGCTTACTAATTCCCTAGTATCTGGCAAAATTCTTACTCAGAAAGCGAGCAAATTGAAACTCAAATCAGAAAAACTTCTTTGACAAAGCAAAAGAAATTCTATAAGCAATTTTACAGTGGTTACACGAGTAATACCAAAACTATAGACTTCTCAACTCACTACTGTACCAATAAGCAAAGCAGTAAATAAATGACCATACCGACACATCTGACCGGCCATTCTTCGTAACAATTTCGCCATTTTTCTTGAAAATTATTAGCGCTGGAATGCCGTTAGCATCTAATTTGTTCGCCGCTTCCCTGAAGATACGGAAGTAGATTATATCTGAGGCAAAAAGTGAGTGCATTGGCAGCTTATTCACGTTTGCCGTACAGGCCATAAATAGAAGTAAACAGGAACCGGCTTTAGGAAAGACGATCTCCAAAAGGCACGACCTCAGCACAGTAATATTTATTGTGATCAACAATATGTTCAAATTGTAAGTCAAATTTTGCAAAAACTAAAAAAAATTTTCTCCACCAGAAAGCCCATCGAAACCTTTGCAGGACAGACCCAAATACTTTTAAAAACTCACCGTATAGAAGGATGGCCGAAGGGCACATAGTACCAGTCACCATGCTCGGAACGAATGTAATTCATCTGTTCTTCCTCGCTGTGATCAAACGAGGCGAACACAACTTCAAAGCCATCGTCACAAATTTCTTCATAGAAATCCTAAACAGGCCTCATACACTTCAAAATATCACACGGAAAATGACATGGGGTGAAAAATCTAGAACAAAAAAAAAACCAAAGACAAAAGAATCAAAAAACATCAGTTACTTTCCATAATTTGAACTGCCAAATCTTTCTGTCTTAAGAAAAGGAAATTCACCTTCAGGACCGGAGTGAACATACGACACGGAGGGCACCAATGGGCAGAAAAGTACACTCCTACGACTTTACCCTGAAAAACATTTCATGCAGCTGAAATGAACTGAAATTAAAAGAACATAAGAGACTAAGAAAGAGTAACGCTAGAACAACAAAACCAATTCTTTTTGTCAACGAATAAATTCATAAATTTAAAAATGTCATTATTTCATTTTCTGAAGCATTCAACGACAATAGCCAAAAACGACAAGATATCAACCATAGCAAGTTAAAAGG